ATCCAGCTCTACACCTTGTTATCTCAGATTCTCCAGCATCTGCAGTTCCTACTATCTCTCCCCATCTGCCAAGTCTGGTGGACGCAAGACCACGTGGCTTTATTTTGAAGAGTAGCGGCGTTATCCCTGAATCCAGCCCATAATTTATCCTTTGATCTACACCACAGAAGAGATACAGCTTATCTGGTCCTTATCACATTGCAGTTTCTGGGAGATTGCTATATCTCTGTATTGGCTACAACATTTCCTACATGAGAATAATGACTATATTTCAGTAAGTACTTCAGTGGTTGCAAAGTGCTTTGAGATGTCCAGTCGTGACTTAAATGTTAGTCTTCCTTTTTTGCTTTTTTAACATTTAGTTGGAAGAAATTTCAGCTTCTCCAATATAAATGTTGACAAGCAGAATGACAAATTAAAGACAGTGAAGTGGTGGCTAGGTATTGTTAGAACCTGATTTAATGCCATCACAGTGAAGCAATAAGATACAAAATAGAAGGGGCTAAGGATACATTATTGAGGTATGACATTTGTAATAGAGCAAGGAAGACAGAAAATCTAAAGCAACTGGCTATAGAGGAATATTTTAGGTGAAAGCCTGGATCTAATTATTCCAAGCTACATCATGCTGTAGTTGCAGAATGCAGTTTTACTGTACTTCCTGCGATTTATTTACTTAGTTGCAAGTATTTAGAGAATATGGCTGCAATTCACATATCACACATATTGGTCATAAATGGCAATAAATAGTCCGACAATACTTTTGTTTTACCTGCAGCACTGCCTCTTAGAGACAAAGCTACCTCAAAGTCACACATCTGTTTCTGCAATTCACTGACTCGCTGAAAGGCATCTAGTTTCAAGTTGCGTTCCTGGACCAGCTTACAGCGTACCTAACAAATAACAGAAAGTAGATGATGCTGCAGAGCAAAGCAATTTGCAGCAAGGTTCTCAAACAACATCTTGTACTACAAACATGTAGTTATATGTCTTTAAAATGGGTATAAAGCGTCTTAGAGAAGGGCTCCAAGAAGACACGTGACTTCTCTTGTGGATTCAACTGCAGTCAAGGCAGACCATCAGACTGTGGTAAATTAAGTGTTAATCACATAGAGTCATTAAATAATTCATGGAGTGAAGTTACTATCTTGTGGAACAGAAGCCATGAAGGACAGCACGAGGAATTCCAATATTATGAACTGATTTGTGGAAGCAAATGTCTACGTAAGCAGCCATTTTGTTTGATTTTGATAAAATGTTTGACCATTGGATGAAAACACCTTGAAACAGAAATTGTTCACAACTGGGAGAGAGGACCATAGGACATAGGAACAGAATTAGGCCATTTGGCCCATTGAGTCTATCTGTGAGGGAGACATCCAGGACAAGCTAGCTAAAGGATTTCTGGGCTGAGCCAGGATCCCACCAATGACTATCAGCAGTGCTGTAAAAATGAAGCAAAACAGAGGAGCCTTCACTCACTCCCAGAATCTGTTCTGCTTAGTCCACCTGTGCCAGCAGCTTCCAACCATTCAACTGCTGAAGCCATCACAGTTGCTGAATCTAACTTCATGTTTCAACCCTTTCACTTCAGAAAGAGAATTTTCAAGTAAGCTGTGACTGCAATGCAATTAGAGACTGATCTAATTTTCATCTTCATACATTACATTTATCTTTACTTATCTCTACTTCTATACAAATACCTTTGTATTTATAACTTCACCACTATTTACTTAAACAACTCTGCAATAGTTGTATAATAAACTAACATATTACCTTGTTTAGAACTTAAAGCTGAGTTGCTAATTATTTTTAAATTGAACTCAAAAATTAAAAGGACCTGAATACAAGCTTGAGAAAGATGAGGAGGAATTTCTTCATTCAGTGAATGGTGAACCTATGGAATTCATTACTGCTTGGACTATGGACTCAGTCATAGAGATCCAAGGATTTTTACACATTATAAATATCAAAGGATATAGGACAGTGCAAGAAAATGGTGTTCAGATAGAAGATCAGCCATGATCTCTTTGAATAATGGAGCAGGGCTGAATGGCCTACTCCTTTTATGTACTTATGTAAGAAAGTGCTAATGGAGTCCTACTGATCCTTGTCTCTGTAATGAGTAAATGTTACTAGTGTGCACTCGAATGTTTTGCAGTCCTTGTCTATCATAAGCATCCGGAACTCGGTCATAAAATAGATCCATTTTAAGAATTCAATGCTCTGAGTTATGTGAGGCAGATATTATTCTTTCACTTCAGAAAAGTATCAAACCAACAGATATTACCATTTCAGCTCTCAATGGGACCAGTACCATTTTCTGTAAGGCATAGAGTAAAGAAGGATACTTTTGGTTATACTATACCTGTTTGATCTCCTTATCGATCTTATTGTGTTGGATTTGAGCCATTTTAGAAGATCTCTCAAACTCAGCGCTTAGGAGATGGAAACGCTGCTCCTTCTCCTCCATGTCATTCAACAGTTGTTCCATGTTGGATGCCTTCACGATGTCCAGCTGTTGTCGGCTCTTCAACTCCTGAGAAGCCTTGTGTTCGTATTCCTTCAGCAGCCATTTCTGTGGTCAACAAAAACTCAGGCATATGGCATCGAGAGTGACATCTTTTAGGGCATTGCTTTCTTATCAAGACAGTTTACTCTTCGCAGGACTGATATTTTCTCACCTTCCCTTACAAGTTATATAAAAGAAAAGGTTTTTTTTCAATTTATTCATGGGATGAGGGCGTCATGGCGAGGCACCATTTATTGCCCATTCCTAATCGGCCAGAGGGCAGTTAAGAGCCAACCACATTGCTATGGGTCTGGAGTCACATGTAGGCCAGCCCAAGTAAGGATGGCAGTTTCCTGTTGCCTTTAGGTGTACCCATTGCATGTACCATCGCTATAATGTAGGAAATGGTAGCCAAACTGCAAACAGCAAGGTCTGCTCTCACTCTGCCATGGCCAGATTTTTCCATTTATTATTAGCAATAGGGACATCTGATGCAATAGAAACAGTCTGAGCTACTGTTTGGCATAAGATGTAGAATGGTAGTTGTCTGTAAAGGTCAGAAAGTGGAGGATTATTGAAGATTGACATAGATATATTCTTGACAGATAAAGCAGTCAGAGGGCATGGGGAGGAGAAAGGAAATTTGGGTTGAGGCCACAAAGATCGTAATAAACGGCAAATCTGGCTCAAAAGGCTCAAAACTCCTGCTCCCAAGTTCGAGAAGGTATAGAGTTTTTGGGAATACCTCCTTTTCCAGTTCTTTCTTCATTTTGTCATTCTCTGACTGGCACTTGCTCAGAGCTTTCTGTACAGCTGAGAGTTGCTGACGCAGTAAAATCACTTCCTCTTCCGCCAGCATTTTGACATTGAGATAATCTTTCTTGACTTTAACGACTTCCTGTTAACATAAAGGATAAGAGGTCAAAAACATGATGCCAATTTCCTCCAGCAGCTATCACTTGATTTTTCAAAAAAGTTGAACGAGAAAGGGGGAAGAAAGAGTTACTTCTGGTCAAATGTCTATTCTTTATGTGGTGACAGGTGAGCAATAGCTGAAACCTCTGTGGGTTAGCAGTGATCAGAACCAGGCTGCGCCAATCGTTGACCACTTTTCTTGTCCCTTGTTTGACCTCTCCATCCTCGGTTGGATTAATTTTCCATTCAGTGGTCAGATCAAGGCGCTGTGTCCTAGATCTCAAACTTGCTCCCGCAGAATCGAGAGGCACTTCTGACAGAGTGAACTGAACAATTAGCCATGGAACTTCAGCACCTCATGCAGGTTCTTCTGGATTTTGAACATCACAGGCATGATCCCATCCTCTGCCAAAAACTCTCAGAAGTAGGCGCGACATTTTTCCCCGGAGATAGCAAGAACTGCAGATACTGGAGTCAGAGTTGATAGGGTGCGGAGCTGGAGGAACACAGCAGGTCAGGCAGCATCAGAGGAGCAGGACAGTCAACATTTCGGGCCTGGACCATCCATCAGGACTGGGGAGGGGGAAGGGAGCTGGGAAATAAATAGATGGAAGAGGGGTGGGGCTGGGGTAGGTAGGTGGGATGGCGAAAGGTTGATAGTGGGGATTAGTCAGTGGGAAAGGTGAGGTGGATAGGTGGGGAAGGTGATGGACAGGTTGTGTCAGGTCAGTGAGGCAGGGATGAGGGGGAGGGTTGGACACAGGATGAGACTGAGGGTAGGGAGATTTTGAAATTGGTGAATTCTATGTTTAGGCCATTGGGCTGTAAGCTCCTGAGGTGGAATATGAGGTGTCGTTCCTCCAGTTTGCGTGTGGTGTCATTGTGGCACTGGAGGAGGCCCAAGATGGACATGTCACCGAGGGAGTGGGAGGGGGGAGTTAAAATGGTCGGCAACCAGAAGGTGGTGTTGAATTTAGCGTACAGAGCGCAGATGCTCCGTGAAGCATTCACTGAATCTATGTTTGGTCTCACTGATGTAGAGGAGGCCACATCGGGAGCAATGGATACAGTAGACCAGGTTGAAGGATGTACAGGTGAATCCCGTTGGATTGGGAAAGTTTGCCTTGGGCCTCGGATGGAGGTGAGGGGGGAGGTGTAGGGGCATATGTAGCACTTACTGCGGTTGCAGTGAAAGATGTCGGGTATGATGGGGTTGGTGGGGAGTGTGGAACAGACGAGGGAGTCATGGAGTGAGTGGTCCTTAGAAAGGCAGATAGGGGTGGGAAGGGAAATATCTCTTTGATCGTGGTGTGAGATTGTAGGTGGCGGAAGTGGCGGAGAATGATACGTTGGATGCGAAGGTTGGGGTGGTATGTGAGGACTAGGGGGATTTTATCCTTATTTTTGTTGGGAGAGGGTGTTTGAGAGCAGAAGTGTGGCAAATGCAAGAGATATGGTTGAGGGCATTTTCAATCAACGAAGGGAGGAGGTTGCAGTCCTTGAAGTAGGATGTCAGAGATGTTCGGAAGACAGAGTAAAGGTACGCGGAAATGAGTTCAGTGGGGCAGGCACAGGCAGAGACCATAGGTCAGCCAGGGCAGTCAGGTTTCTGGGTTTTGGGAAGGAAATAGAACTAGGCAGTGCAGGGTTGGGGAACGATGAGGTTGGAGGCTGTGGGTAGGAGGTCCCCTGAAGTGATGAGGTTATGGATGGCCTGAGAGACGTTGGTCTGGTGATCGTGGGTGATCATTTTTCCCTATTTGTCCCAAACTGGTAAATAAAGTAATAAAACCGACAGGGGCTCCAACGTTAAGGCACTCCTGTGCCAGGTTTAAAGTGGCCACAGAGTGACGGTTGATCTCACCTGAGCCTAAGATATTCCCGACAATCACAGAATTTCAGAATTGCTACAGTGCAGATGGAGGCCATTCAGCCAATCATGCCTGCACTGGATCTATTCCCTACTATGATGGGATGTACCTTCAAGAGTTCTCTTGAAGGGGGGATGTTGTCAACTTGGTACTGAGATGTGTGGTTCATGGAAAATAGAGTAAATAGCTTTGGGTTTTGTTTTAATTAGACAAAGACATATGAGTGGCTGGAGTCAGGCTCATACAGACCCAGGGTTTTAGTTTTGCTTTCAGTTGTTGAAGTTGGGGTTTTTGGAGTTGAAGCTGCTAGATACAGCTCTGTCTCTCTGTTGCTAGATTCATTCGTTCAGTTTTTCCTTTCTCCTGGACTGGAGAGATAGCAAGTGAGGGAAATCTGTTTTGCAGAATTTGCTTTTGCCAAGGGTATGTTTGTGGGACAGTTGATGGACAGTAGTTAAATAATATATTATTTTGTTAAGTATTTTAATACAGTTAAAGTTATGCCAATTTTTTTTTTTGTATTTTAACTATGGTGTAAGAATAAAGTCTGGTTTGCTTAAAGCCCAGTAGTGTGACCAATCGAATTACATCTAGAACACAGCACCTTACCCTTGCCTTTATAAAAGATAAAAGTTAGGATCTAGGCTATCTCCTTTATATATTTTGAGGGGAGTTTGATCTGCTCCATAACACCAGTGCCAATCTACTGCCTTTTCCCTAAATCCCTGCACACTATTTCTTTCCAAATAATCACTCAGTGTCCTCTTGAACACCTTCATTAAATAAATACTTACAAACCATTATCTTGACCATGTAATGAACCTTACCCACCGGGGTGCTGATAAGGATTTCTCAACTGAAAGTTGGGATTGTCAGTTTTTGTCTGGCCCAAGAGTGTGCATGCCCACGCGCGCGTGTGTGTGTGTGTGCGTGCACACATGCACGCCTATGTCTGTGTGTGTATGTCTGTGTGCATGTGTGTGTGTATCTATGGCTGTGTGTGAATGTGAGTATGAGCGTGTGTATGTCTCTGTGTGTGCGCATTTGTATGTGCATGTATGTGTGTCTGTGTGTACATGTGCTTATGTGTGTGGCTTTGTGTATACACATGCGTGTGAGCGTATGTCTGTGCAAGCGTGTAGGTGTATGTCTGTGTGTGCACGTGTGTGCGAGCACATATCTGTGTGCGCATGTCTGTGCATGTGTGTGTGTCTGTGTGCGTGCGTGCGTGTGTGTGTGGCAGTGTTTCCAGCCAAACACCCCCTCCTGTACCATCCAGGGTTGTTGTTGATCCAGTGCGAAAACCAGGAGTCAATGAATCTGGTCCGAGCCCTCTGAGAAGGGAGCCCACAGGACCTGGTTCGAGGAGTGGGTGAAAAACTGGCTCCAAAAGGTGTTCACAGGAAATTGAAAAGAGATCTGGGAGTCCTGAAAAATGTAACCGAGAGACCAGTAGAGACTGAGAACTCACCAAACATAACAGGAGCCAGGAGCAAAGGGGAAACCTTCTGAGAGACTGGGCAAAGCCCACTGAGAGGGAATTGCGGACAAACAAAGCGAGGAGTGAGCTGGCACAGCACAGGCTGAATGTCAGTGGGCTGTGACAGACCCTGGGGGCGGGGGCGGGGGTGGGGGAGCTGAGAAGGCGTTCAAGGTTACCCAGGAATTCAATGATGGAGCACTGCCTGACAGATACGATTGAACAACCAGGAGTTGAGCAAGTGATCCAGCATTCCAAGCCAGGGTGCCATTAGATGAAGTTAAATGGAGTCCTCGAGAGTGAAGAGTGAAATCTATCTGGAGGAAGATCCAAGTGTAAATGAGACTTTTGTGACTCACAGTAGTTACTGACATCTGGGTGCAGCCGTGCATTTTGTTTTTAAGTATAGATTGAATTTTCTCTTGAATCTGCTTCCACCGTCCTTCCAGATCACAAACAACAAATAAAAAGTTGCAATGATTTTTCTATAGAAAGACTTCAAGTTTACATGGCCACTGGCAAATCACTGATGATCTGTGAAATGCTAGGGGCAAAATTTGTACCCCTTGCTAATTATCAGACCATCGCTAAAGCTTTAATGTTGTTGTCAAGGTTCCAGATCGATTTATAAACTTTGTGCCCTCTCACAGCATTTTCCCTCACCTGCTCCAAGGCAGTGCAAGTTCGTTGGAACTGCTTCTGCTTTACAGTCTGTCGCCAGCAGCTCAGTGTTTTCAGCTGACACACCAATCTCTCCAGTTTACTGTTCTCTTCCCGTAAGGACTGTAGCTGATCTTGCTGGGAAAATAAAAATGGCAGAAATAAAAATTCCCTCTTTCACTCTGTTCTTCAAATACTCCCCCAACCCATTTGCTACTCCCCAACAGGCTCCATTTCAGTAATATTACAAGGCCATCATGGTGATCATTCTGCTCTCATTTCCACAATTGTCACTTGCAATTCAATATTCCATAATATTAAAATGGGACTACACAGCCCATCTTCAGTTCTATGGAGTGAAAAAAGCAAGTTTGCCGCCTTAATAAAGTCAGGTTTGGACCTAAGAGAACAGAGTGCAGTAAGTTCAGAGGTCAGAATGGGTGAGGGGAGCAGAGAAATGAAAGCAGCAGATGTCACGCCAACAGTTCTCAATGAAGAGATAACAGACAGATAAGTGGCCAAAGGGTCCAGATGTAAGGAGTGTATTGGAGACAGGTGAAAGGATCCATGGTGTTGGGAGAGAATTCCTGCCCAAAAAAGGCAGCATCGAGGCAAAGGATAATTTTAATTGCCCTTCTACGAAGTGTCTTGTTTAGTCTCAGTAGAGCTGACCTATTTTTTGCTATTAACATTTACTCTTTATCATCACCTCTTTTTCTACACCATTAGCACTGCCTTTGCCTTTTGCTCTGGGCACCTTTCTCATCTGTTCCACATGCTCTACCTGCCTATTTTCTCTCAGCATAAAATCCATCCCTTTTCCAGCCCCCTTCATGGTATTAATTTCATATCTGCTTTGCCTGTCTTCACTTTTTATATCTCCTCTCTCTCTTCTTCCTCAGTGTTTCTATGATATGTCTTTAGTATGGTTGTTATATACAACTGTCTAAAGTTGTATTTTACTAGTATTTATTTTAAAGTTTACTGCATCTGCTATCAGTTGTTTTCAGAATAACCTGTTTCAAAATCCATCTATGATGACTAAAACTATTGCTCCAAATCATATTTGTAGAGGTAATCTGGAGATTCAATCCTGCAATTTGACCTCGTTGGATCAATAAATCACCAACATTAAGGTAAGTTGCAAAAAAATTGGGCTGACAGCCAGAAACAGCAGAATTACCCAAATAGATCAGAGATAACGAACAAGTCACAAAATCTCAGAACCATTACAATGCAGGAGACCATTGTGTCTGCTGGGGATCCATTATCTAGTGCCAATCTCCTGCATTTTCCCCATATCTGTTCCCATAAAGACTGTAGCTGATCTCGCTGGGAAAACAAAAATGGCAGAAATAAAAATTCCCTCTTTCACTCTGTTCTTCAAATACTCCCCAACCCATTTGCTACCCCCCAACAGGTTTCATTTCAGTAATATCACAAAGCCATCATGGTTATCATTCTGCTCTTATTTCAATAATTGTCACTTGCAATTCAATATTCCATAATATTAAATGGGACTACACAGCCCATCCTCAGTCCATTCATCTCTGGAGTGAAAGAACCAAGTTTGCCACCTTAACAAAGTCAAAGTTTGGACTTAAGAGACTTATGCTAGAAAAAATCTGACGTCCTTTCGAATGCCCTAACTGAACCTGCCTCCACCACATTTCCAGGCAGTGCATTCCATATCCTAACTATTTGCTGTGTGAAAAAGCTTTTTCTCACACTACTCTTATTTCGTTTACATATCATTTTAAATCTATGCCCTCTCATTCTTGTTTCTTTTACAAGAAGAGACAGTTTCTCCCTATCTACTCTGTCCAGCCTGCACACAATTTTGAAAACCTCAACCTGGTCTCTATTTAGCATTTTTCTCTCCAAGGAGAACAGGCCCAACTACTTTAAACATCTTCATAACTGAAGTTCCTCATGCCAGGACCTATTCTTGTAAATCACTTCTGTAATCGCTCCAATGTGTTTGCATCTTTCCTATAATGTGGCACCCACAAAAGTACACAATATTCTAGCTGAGGTCTAATGAGTATGTTGTACAAGCTCAACATCACCTCCCTGCTCTTGTACTTTATGCCTCTATTAATAAAGCTGAGAACACCATATACTTGATTTACTGGTCTCTCTACCTGTCCTGCCACCTTCAATGATCTGTGCACATGTATACCCAGGATAAGTGGCATAAGGTACCACCTATTAGTCTAAAATGAGTAAGTGTGAGAGAAACTCAGCAGGTCTGGCAGCATCTATGGAGAGAAAAACAAAGTTAAAGTTTCAAGATCTGAAGAAGAGTCATTGGACACAAAAAGTTTCTCTCTCCACAGATGCTGGTAGACCTGCTGAGTTTCTCCAGTACTCTTTGTTTTTATTTCAGATCTCCGGCACCTGCAGTATTTTTCGTTTGAGTACTGTAATTAGTCGAGTGATGAAAATCTCTTGAAGGTTTATGATGAGGACATTTCTCTAAGATTCTTTCTAATGAGTTGGTTCCCAATCCCACTGTTGGATGTTTATCTTATGAATTACTGGTGTTATAATAAGTTGAAATACTCCCTGACGAACCTTCCAAAACAGTTGCTTGGGACTTATTTGATCCAGAAAGTGCAATGGCAACTTGATTATAATGGACTATTTTGGGATCAGAGAAAGCATTCCCATGTTTGTGGACCAACCTACTGATGGAGGTATTCACCAACATTTTCAACCTCTCCCTCCTACAAGCCGAAGTCCCCACCTGCTTCAAGAAGACCATCATCACCCCCGTACCTAAGTAAACACATGGCTCTGACTTCATTAATCATGAGGTGACTCAAAAGACTGGTCATGGCCCACATCAACTCCAGTCTCCCAACCTGTCTCAATCCCCTACAATTTGCCTACCGACATAACAGGTCCACAGTGGATGCCACATCCTTAGCCCTGCACTCATCCCTGGAACATCTGGACAACAAAGACACGTACATCAGACTCCTGCTCATTGACTACAGCTCTGCCTTTAACACCATTATCCTCACTTGACCGATCTCAAAACTCCGTGACCTTGGTCTCAGCTTCGCCCTCTGCAACTGGGTCCTCAGCTTTCTGACCCATAGGCCACGATCAGTGAGGATAGGTAACTGCCCCTCCTCCACAATAACACTCAACACTGGAGACCCCCCAAGGATGTGTCCTCAGCCCCATACTGTAATCCCTGTACACCTACGACTGTCACCAAATTCTGAATGAACACCATCTACAAGTTCACTGACGACACCACCATAATGGGACAGATATCTAACAACGACGAGTCAAAATATAAAAGAGAGATAGAGGGCTTGGTGACGTTGTGCAATGAAAACAATCTGTCTCTCAACGTCAGCAAAACTAAAGAACTGATCATCAACTTCAGAAAGAAAGGAGGAGAACATGCCCCCATCTACAACAATGGAACTGAGGTTGAGAAGGTGGACAACATCAGGTTCCTCGGAGTGATGATAATTGACAACCTTTCCTGGACTTCTCACCTAGATGTGACAGACAAGAAAGCACAACAACACTTCTTCCTCAGGCAGCTCAGGAAATTTGACATGTCCATAAGGACCCTTACCAGCTTCTACAGATACACCATTGAAAGCATACTGTCCGGGTGCATAACGGCCTGGTACGGCAACTGCTCTGCCCAGGACCATGAGAAACTACAAAGGTGGTGTGCACAGCCCAGACCATCACGGAAGCCAACCTTCCATCCATGGACTCCATTTACACGGCCCGCTGCCGCGGAAAGGCAGCCAACATCATCAAAGACCCATCGCACCCTGGTAATGATCTGCTACAGCCTCTTCCATCGGGCACAAGATTCAGAAGCCTGAACACACGCACGAGCAGGTACTTCCCAGCTGTTATCAGACTGATGAATGGATTCTCCAGCATCAGATAATGCTAATCTTGCCTGGCACACGGCCTGTGCAATGTAACCTGCATTCTTTTGTCGAAGTTTTTTTGATCTGTGCATCCTTGCATACTATGATCTGCCTGTACTGTTCGTAAACAAACCTTTTCACTGTACTTTGGTACACGTGACAATAAATAAAATCAATTAATTGTAAGAGAACGATGACGGTAATGTTTATGTTGCTTGACTCTTTGCTCGTCCAAGGCACAGCAACAGTGACGATTTGCTCTTTTAGTAGGAAAATAAGTAGAATATAAAGTAAACAACTAGACTAATTATAGTCTCACTTGCCATTCATTTTGGCCTCCTTTATTAGATTGAAAATGCAATGGGAAGCATCACTTAATTTTCTTGGATAAAAAGCAACCTTCATTGTTGCAAAAATGATTTAATTCTTTTAATTGTCTTGCTGTTTGGAATCTAAATGCAGATTATCCAACAAGGCGTAACAGAAGATTATAAAATCATAACAAATTCAGAATTAAAATGTGCATTTAAAAATGTACTGAAAGTGAGAGCAAAAGTTCTATGTGACAGGTATAGATTCCAAAAAGATTAATGTTCATGCACAAATAAACTCCAAAGGAAATGAGAGTGGAAATGTTAAAAATTCCCATCCATAAAATGTCCAGTTTTTGCCAACTGGACTGACTTTGTTGTAATGTGTAGCGGAAACATTTCTAAATCCTAATCAGTAAATTAATATTTTACATGATCCTTACTAGATTAGGAGTTCTATTATAACCATTGATCGCAAAGTTATTATTTAAAAGAAATTAGCCAAATCAAGTTTGTGAAAATGTCAATTCTATGATTCTTTCAAAACTTCTGGGTGATCTCTTAAAGTTTAAAAAAATTAAAATTGAAGAATAGTTTGGAAGCAGCACCTCAGGAATATAATAAATGAATATTCTGTGCTCTGTAAACAAAATTCCACAACAAGTCTATTGACTACTTCAACAATAATGAAGAAGGAGATCTTCCCTCTTTTTGGGTTGTAGTGCACTGAAGAAAACTTTTCTACAAGGCAAGTTCAGAGATAAAAATGCTTATGAGTGGACACAACTTTGAGGCTCTTCACTGCATGAATATTTCTTTGTTTTAATATCATTGAAATGATTTCTGTTTGTTTGCTTAGTTTCTTGTAACTTTATGACTAGGGCTCAGATTCAAAGTAACAAGAATGGAACAAAGCATTATTATTTTCAATTATTTCTACTAGGTGAAGCTAACCTAAGGTCAATGGTGGGGTCACCTCTGGACAGAGGAACATTTCAAAGAATTTCTCCTCTGGTAAAAGTCAGAAATCACACAACACCAGGTTATAGTCCAACAGGTTTATTTGAAAACACAAGCTTTTGGAGTCTTACTCCTTCTTCAGGTGTTAGCCAAGGAACAGACTTGCTTACCTGTGCCAGGTTCTCTTTCAAAGTGTCATCATTCTTTCTGGAGCCAATCTTCCTCTTGAGGATAATCATGTTTTCCACCCCTTTCTTTCTCACTTCACTGATCAGTTCACAGACCGTTTTGTTCATGTTAATGTGGTATTCATCCAGCTTCCCCTGTTTTGTTTTTAAATGTGCCAAGAGTTCCAATTACAACAACGGTGAAAACTGTTTATTATTATTTTCCCTTTAATGATATGTGGGAATCAGTGGTATTGCTAAATGCTTCTTCAGCTGAGTGACTGCCAGGCCGATATAGAAGGCTGTTAAGAGTTAACCCCATTTCTGTGTGCCTGGAGTCACATGTAGGCCAGAGCAGGTAAGGACGGCAATAACTTTTCCAAAAAAAGGCATCAGACGGTTTTTTTTAATGACAATTGATGGTAATTTCATGGTTGCCATTACCGAGACTAGCTTTGGGGAAGTCAGAGAATTACAGAAGTCTTAAGGTGCAGAAATAGGTCATTTGGCCCATCATGTCTGCACCAGCCCTTCAAATGAGCATCATGACTTGGTGCCAATCTACAGTTTTTTTTCGCCAATAGCCTTGCAGATTATTTAATCCAAACAACCATCCAATGTCCTCTCGAATGTCTCAGTTGAACCTGCCTCCACCACACTTCCAGGAAGTGCACCTACACCCTAACTGTGCAATTTGTACAGAAGTTTTTTTCTCATACCACCCTTGCTTCTTTTGCTAATCACTATAAGGCTATACCCTCTCAGTTTTGTTCCTTTTACAAATGGGAATACTTTCTCCCTATTTACTTTGTCCAGCCCAATTTTGAAAACCTCAACCTGATCTTTTGGTGGCCTTCTTCTCTCCATGGAAAACAGACCCAACTTCTTCAATCTATTCTCATAACCAAAGTTTCTCCTCCCTGGAGTTATTCTTGTAAATTGCTTCTGAACTTTCTCCAATGCATCCTTCCTATAATGTGGCGCCCAGAACTGTATGCAATACTCCAGCTGAGGTCTAACAAGTGTTTTATACAAGTTCATCATCATCTCTTTGCTCTTGTACACTGTGCCCTGTTAAAAATCCATGGATAGAGTATGCATTATTTACTTCTCTCTCCACCTCTCCTGACACTTTCAATTATCTATGCACATAAACACCCAGGTCCCTCTGCTCCATGCGGCAGAGCCAAGATAGTTTTGTCAAAGGGAAATCATGTTTAACTAATTTATTGGAGTTCTTTGAAGCAGTAACTAGTGCTGCAGATAATGGGGAACCAGCGGATGTAGTGTATTTAGATTTCTAGAGGACATTTGATAAAGTTCCACATCAAAGGTATTTGTGGAAAATAAAAAGCTTGTTGTATAGGGTATGGCATGGATTGGAATATTGGCACTGATAGAGGATTGACTTGGCAATAGGAAGCAGAGAATAGGAATAAGTGGGTTCTTTCTAGGCTGCAGGATGTCACAAGTGGTGTGCCACAGGAGTCGGTGCTGGGGCTTTGACATAGAAGCATTTGGATGAAGGGATCGAAGGTATAGTAGGTAATTTGCTGATGACACAAAGACATGTAGGAAAGTGAAATAACTGCACAGAGGCTGGTCTCCCATCACCACGTCACCCTTTATTTACTGTGCACAGTACACTAGCTGTGGCCAGCCAGCTCAGAGTCAGTCCCTGAAGTCAGGAGATTCTGAATCTCCTGTTTATATCTGTCGGACAGGGTTCTCTGATTGGCCCAGGTTAACAAACCCAATCAAGGATCTCACAGTAAATAAGATCCACTTGATTCCAATCACTACAGAAAGCTTTCAAGAAAGGTTAAGTTCAAGTTCTCAAGGTTAAAGCAATCAAAGGGTACAGGAAGCAATCAGAAACAGGGTATTGAGTTGGAGAATCAGCCATGATCATATTGAATGGCAGAGCAGGCCCAAAGGGCTGAATGGCGTACTCCTCCTATATTCGATGTTTTTTTTAATGAAAATGAGTTGTGAAGAGGATATAAGGAGCCTACAAAGGAATATAACTAGGTTAAGTGAATGGGAAAACATTTGGCAAGGAATACAATGTGGGAAAGTATGAAATTGTCCATTTTGGCCGGAAGAATAAAAGAGAAGCATGATGAATGGTTGCAAAGTTATGAGATACAGATAAATCTGGGTGTCCTAGTACCTGAATCACAGAAGACTAGTGCGTAGGTACAGCAAATAATCAGGCAAGCTAAGAGAACATTATGGTTTATTGCGAAGGGAATTGATGCAAGAGTAAGGAGGTTATGCTTAAGTTTTACAGGGCATCTGGAGTTTTGTGTACAGTACCTGCCACCATACTTATGGAAGGATGTTGATGCATTGGAAACAGTTCAGAGAAGCTTTACTGGACTAAAACCTGGAACGGGCAGAATGCCATAAGAGGAAAGTCAAGACCTGTATCCCCTGGAGTTTAGAGGCGTCAGAGCGACTTAATTGAAACATATAAAACTCTTGTCGGGCTTGACAGTGGATGCTGATAAACTATTTCACTTGCCTGAGGAGTGGAGCACAATCACAGAATTAGGAATTGATATTTAGACTGAGATGAGAAGAAATATATTCACTCAAAGGATTGTAAACCTTTGAAGCTATGGGTGCTCATTTGTTGAATATTTACAAAACAGTAGTTAATAGGTTTTTTCACACGTATGAAATTCAAGACATGAGGTTAATGTGGGAAGGGGATCAGAATGACAGAGCAGGCTCAAAGGGTCAAATGATCTACTCCAGTTCCTATTTCCTATGCTCTTACAGGAAACACGGCTGCTAATTTGCATTCAGAAAGCTCCAACAAATAACGATGTGCTACTGGCCAGATAATCTGTTTTTGTAATGGTGATGGAGGAACAAATATTGTCCTAAGATAGTTCCCTTGAACTTCTTCAGAATAATGCCATGGGATCTTTTATGACCACCTGGGAAGACAGGGGGGGATTGGTTTAATGTCTCTTCTGAAAAACGGCACGTCTGATAACGTAGCACTCATTCAGTGCTCACTAGGGTGTCAGGCTGGATTTTTATGCTCAAGTCTAGAGTGGGACTTGAACTCATGACTTTGAGCGAGATTGCGACTGACTGAGACACCACTGACACCTATAGTGTCTCATTAACAGCTGACATAACCAAGGCAGACTTAACTACTAGCAGTTGTTGAGGCAAAAAGCACAGATGCATTCAGGGGGAAGTAGAAAGTAAAGGAAGGGAGGAATAGAAAAATAAAATGAAGGTAGATGAAATAGAGTGGGAGGGGTATGTGGACCGTAAACTGAGCTGAAAGTTTTGATTCTCGGCTGTAAATTCTAAGTAAGTATCTACACTTTTTGCAGTCAATTTAGGGATGAATTCTCACCTTAACCCTATTCCACTGCTCAGATCCTACACCAGGGCGTGTTCTGATTATTTTTCTTTGAACAGATTTCTGATCCAAATCCATCTATCCTCACCTGAATTATGAATGTATCCAGTATCTGCTTGGGTGCTTTAGCCGAGATAAGAACACAGAAATAGATTGCATATTTTAATATATTACAATCTAGCTACATGCACATACCTTCAATGCAATACAGGATGCAAACAGATCTCTGACCAAAGCATCATATTCCTGCCTCACTTCTTTCCTGATCTCATCTTTCAGCTTCGCATTCTCTTCCTCCAGGTTGGCCAACTTTGCCCGGAGAGCTGTGATCTCGATAATTATCTCATGACTGAGATCAGCTAACTGAGAAAAAAAAAAGGATTGAAATCAACACAGGAATTGGGTAATTTGGCCACTTAGTCACTGGTAGCACAAACTAGAGTAGTCCAAAAAAACAGACATGCTGTCGAAACTATGGGCTACCCAACGTACACAAACATTATGTCCTTTTATCGCCATACCTTATCCATGTCTGATTCTGCACAATATGAATTGGCCAATTCATTTGGAGCTCCAGCCAGTTCAGAGCTGTTTTTCTACAATGCACAGTCATGGATTCCTTCCCCTTCACGAAGGCTATACAAATTCTGCATGTTAACAGGAATGCCCTGTCCACGTATGTTTGACATTACCGGCTACTCACTAGTGTGCCACTCAAGCAAGCTGTAGATGTTTATACTGGATTATGTATCATGACAAGCTAGATTTGCTGCCATTATTTGAGTCTGTATTCATGTAATTTAAGAACTGAGCAATTTGCATAGTTAAGCTCAGTTTTGATGAATCTCTGTGACCAAATAGATGGTGCTGCCACAGGATTTCCTCTAGGCCCAATTCTCACTAACATTTTCATTACTTTCGATGATGAGAAACCCATTTTGATGGAATAACACTTCTCTTCCTACTCCTTGCACATTTCTAATATATAGATTATACATTTGCTATATTTCAATTTACAGCTGCATGTGAGAATTTTCTTTCTCCTCTACATCCCTACATTCATCTTTGAAATGCAGTCGTCTAACAGGCTTGCGCTCTTCAATGAGCGAGTTGAGAAATCAGCTCTTGGGTTCTCTGTCACTGTTTTCAACTCACCTTCACTGGTTAATCATTGTGTCCGTGTGAATCCTTAACTATGAGATTGGTATCGTTGGCAACTTGGTAAATAGGGCACAAACCCTTTCCACTCTGTGCAAGTTTGATGTTGAAATAGGGCATGTCAAAGCCATCCAGCAGGATATGGACTACCATGCTCATTGATCACTGTGTACCACACAAACTCATGAATGGGACTAAGAACTCCACTTTCAGTCCTGAGAAGACCGATCCCATACTATTTCAGAATTACCCTGAAAGGATAAGGTATCACGAAGGTTTGAGCAACAGGTAAAACTGGCCATTTAACACTGCTACCTTGCAGTAGCAACATTAGTGGTGTTCTTCGTCAATAGGATGCTACCACCGAGCCAAAGGGATATCCTGCCTACTGCACAAATGAATAACGTGGAATACAAATATTAAATGCTAGGTGAGAAGGCCACAGGTCCCACTGACTGATGGATCATAGCAAACAACATATTCCATTGGCTGTTTACATCTGGTAGAGTACTGGCTGGACTGAACCAGCCCACTGCTTGTAAAACTCAGCACATAACATGTGATAAAAAGGTGTAGAGCTGGATGAACACAGCAGGCCAAGCAGCATCAGAGGAGCAGGAAGGCTGACGTTTCGGGTCTAGGCAGTTCTTCAGAAATGGGGGAGGGAAGGCGATTCTGAAATAAATAGGGAGAGAGGGGGAGGTGGATAGAAGATGGATAGAGGAGAAGATAGGTGGAGAGGAGACAGACCGGTCAAGGAGGCGGGTTTGGAGCCAGTAAAGGTGAGTGTAGGTGGGGAGTGAGGGAGGGGATAGGTCAGTCCAGGGAGGACGGACAGGTCAAGGAGGCGGGATGAGGTTAGTAGGTAGGAGATGGGGGTGGGGCTTGAGGTGGGAGGAGGGGATAGGTGGGAGGAAGAACAGGTTAGGGAGGCGGGGACGAGCTGGACTGGTTTTGGGATGCGGTAGGGGGAGGGGAGATTTTGAAGCTTGTGAAGTCCACATTGATACCATTGGGCTGCAGGGTTCCCAAGTGAAATATGAGGTGCTGCTCCTGCAACCTTCGGGTGGCATCGTTGTGGCATGCCGACTCTGCTCCGCCCACTGCCGACACTGACGTTGCTCCGCCCACCACCTCCACAGCCAGCAGCTCCAGAGGAGACAATAGCACCCAGCCCTGCCGAGTCTTCACCATCCCCCAGATCTCCCCCTTACTGAGGACGAACGGTCAGTCCTCAGTAAAGGGCTCACATTTATCCCCCTCCACCTAACATCAACGAATACCACTCACGCTTGGACGTTGAACAGTTTTTCCGCCGCCTCTGCCTCCACGCTTCTTTAACCGTGAACCTAACCCTCCCTCTACTGACCCCTCCTCCCGCCTCCAACACACCCCCTCCTCCTGGACACCACCCCAAGGCCTCCTACCCTCCCTCGACCTCTTCATCTCCAACTGCCGTCGAGACATCGATCGCCTCAACCTCTCCATCCCTCTCACCCACTCCAACCTCTCCCTCACAGAACGTGCCCTCCGCTCCCTCCGCTCCCATCCCAGCCTCACTATAAAACCCGCGGACAAGGGAGGCGCAGTTGTAGTATGGCGCACTGACCTCTACATCGCCGAGGCCAGTCGCCAGCTCTCTGACACCTCCTCATACCGCTTCCTTGATCATGACCCCACCCCCAACCACCAAAACATCATCTCCCAAACCATCCACAACCTCATCACTTCAGGTGACCTCCCACCCACAGCCTCCAACCTCATCATTCCCCAACCCCGCACTGTCCGTTTCTATCTCCTTCCCAAAATCCACAAACCTGACCCCACTGAACTCATCTCCACTTATTTTGACTCCATTTCTTCCCCTTGGTCCAGGAACTCTCCACCTACTTCCGTGACACTACCCACGCCCTCCACCTCCTGCAAAACTTCCGATTCCCTGGTCCCCAACACCTCATCTTTACCATGGACGTCCAGTCCCTATACACCGGCATTCCCCATACAGATGGCCTAAAAGTCCTCCGCTTCTTCCTGTCCCGCAGGCCCGACCAGTCCCCCTCCACTGACACCCTCATCCGCTTAGCCAAACTCGTCCTCACCCTCAACAACTTCTCTTTCAATTCCTCCCACTTCCTACAAACAAAGCGGGTGGCCATGGGTACCCGCATGGGCCCAAGCTATGCCTGCCTCTTTGTAGGATACGTGGAACAATCCCCCTTCCGTAGCTACACTGGCCCTATCCCCCACCTCTTCCTCCGTTATATCAAAGACTGTATCGGCTCCGCCTCGTGCTCCCACAAGGAGCTCGAACAGTTCATCCACTTCACCAACACCTTCCACCTCAACCTTAAGTTCACCTGGACCATCTCTGATACCTCTCTCTCCTTCCTGGACCTCTCTGTTCCCATCTCTGGCAACCACCTGGAAACCAATATCCATTTCAAGCCCACCGTCTCCCACAGCTACCTAGAATACACCTCCTCCCACCCACCTTCCTGCAAAAAGGCCATCCCCCATTCCCAATTCCTTTGCCTCCACCGCATCTGGTCCCAGGATGAGGCATTCCACTCCCGTACATCTCAGATGTCCTCGTTTATCGAGGATCGCAAATTCTCCTCCACAGTGGTCGAAAACGCCTCGACCGTATCTCCCGCATTTCCCACAACTCATCCCTCACACCCCCTCCCTGCAATAACAATCAAAACAGAATCCCCCTCGTCCTCACGTACCACCCCACCAACCTCCGAATCCAACGCATCATCCTCCGACACTTCCGCCATCTGCAATCTGACCCCACCACCAAAGATACTTTTCCCTCCTCACCCTTATCTGCTTTCCGGAGGGGCCACTCTCTCTGTGACTCCCTTGTCCGCTCCACACTCCCCTCCAGCCCCACCACCCTCGGCACTTTTCCCTGCAACTTCAGGAAGTGCTACACCTGCTCCTACACCTCCCTCCTCACCCCCATCCCAGGCCCTAAGAAGACCTTCCACATCAAACAGATGTTCACCTGCACATCTGCTAATGTGGTATACTGTATCCACTGTTCCCGTTGTGGCCTCCTCTACATCGGGGAAACCAAGCGGAGGCTTGGGGACCGCTTTGTGGAACACCTACGCTCGGTTCGCAACAAACAACTGCACCTCCCAGTCGTGAACTATTTCAACTCCCCCTCCCACTCCTTGAACGACATGTCCATCCTGGGCCTCCTGCAGTGCCACAATGATGCCACCCAAAGGTTGCAGGAACAGCATCTCATATTTCGCTTAGGAACCCTGCAGCCCAATGGTATCAATGTGGATTTCACAAGCTTCAAAATCTCCCCTCCCCCTACCACATCCCAAAACCAGCCCAGCTCGTCCCAGCCTCCCTAACCTGTCCTTCTTCCCACCTATCCACTCCTCTCACCTCAAGCCCCACACCCATCTCCTACCGACTAACCTCATCCCGTCTCCTTGACCTGTCCGTCTTCCCTGGACTGACCTATCCCCTCCCTAACTCCCCACCTACACTCACCTTTACTGGCTCCATCCCCACCTCTTTGACCTGTCTGTCTCCTCTCCACCTATCTTCTCCTTTATCCATCTTCTATCCGCCTCCCCCTCTCTCCCTATTTATTTCAGAATCCCCTTCCCCTCCCCCATTTCTGAAGAAGTGTCTGGACCCAAAACGTCAGCTTTCCTGCTCCTCTGATGCTGCTTGGCCTGCAGTGTTCATCCAGCTCTACACCTTGTTATCACGGTATTCGAGATCCGGTTTCACCAACCCTGATAACATCCTGAATTTTATGTTCAATTCCCCTTGTAATACAACATAGAAACATTGAAATCAGAGCAGGAGTAGGCCATTCAGCCCTTTGAGCCTGCTCCAATATTCAATATGATCATGGCTGATCATCCAACTCAGTTCCCTTTTCCCGCTTTCTCCCCATATCCTTTGATTCCTTTAGCCCTAAGAACTACATCGAACCCCTTCTTCACAACATTCAGTGTTTTGGGGCCTCAACTGCTTTCTGTGGCAGAGAATTCCACAGGTTCGCCAATCTCTAAAAGATTGAATCCCATTAAACTTCTTCATTATGTGCTGTACCTGCATTCTAACCATTTGTAACTCATGCAAGAGACTATCTAAATCCTCTACACCTTGGAATTCTGCAGTCATTCTCTGTTTAAGTAATATGAATGCAATGCTGGAACTGTATAAAA